CGAGGCTTAAAAAGGAGCCTTGGGCATGGACAGCCAAGACACTGTGGCAAGAAGTGTCCTACATGAAGGACCTCTGTGGGTGACACCCCAGTGGAAAGAAGTGTTCATCAGGAAGGATGTACTTTTCTCTGAAGGGAGGAGAGAGCTTCCACTTTGCTTATGGCCTTGACGAAACACTGAAGGAGTTTGTGCATTCCAAAGGCTTCCATAGCCTAGGCAGCTCATGCCAAGAGCTTCGAGTGATCACTGATGTCATACATAATAGTACTAATTGTTAGCCGGTGCCACGGCTCACTAGGCTAATCCTCTGCCTGCAGCGTCGGTACCCCAGGTTCTAGTCCTGGCTGGGGTGCTGGATTCTATCCTGGTTGCTCCTCTTCCAGTCTAGCTCTCTACTGTGGCTCGGGAAGGCACTGGAGGATGGTCCAAGTGCTTGGGCCACTGCACTTGCATGGGAGACCAGAAGGAAGCACCTGGCTCCTGGCTTCGGATTGGCTCAGCGCACTGGCTGTGGTGGCCATTTGGGGGGTGAACCAACGGTAGGAAGACCTTTCTCTCTGTCTCTCTCTCTCTCACTGTCTAACTCTGCATATCCAAAAAAAAAATAGTATTAATTGCTAAATTAACAACAGGAGTCAATGACACTAACTTCCCATGCAGGACCTCTGTCCTTAAGGAGTTGTATTATGAGAGTTTATAGTAAAACTTGTTCTCCAAGAAAAAACAATGAGCCTTGGGTAGGCGTTTGCTGCAGAGGGTAAAGCACCATGTGGGATGCCTGTATCCCAGGAGTGTCTGGGTTTGAGCTTCGACTGTGCTCCTGATTCCAGCTTCCCACTAACGTGTACCCTGGGAGATAGCAGGTGGTGGCTCTAGTCCTTGGGTTCCTTGCCACCCACGCGGGAGACTGGGGTAGAATTCCAGGTTCCTGGCTTCAGCCTGGCTTAGCCCTGGCTGCTGTGGACATTTGGGGAGTGAAGCAGTGAATGGAAGATCTCTGTTCCCATCTCTGGCTCTGCCTCTGCTTTCCAAATAAGTGAAAAAAATTAGTCTCATAAATAATGTTCAGACATACATAAGATGCTAGAATGTGAAATAATGATTAAAAAGAAATAATTTGTAGTGAAAAAATGTGAATGTTGACTCACAGCAGATTTACTGACAAATGAATTAGGACGTTGGAGCACATGATCAAATGAATCTATTAGGAGACGTCAAAGTGAGCTGAACAAGACAGAGGGGGAATGGTTGAGTAGCATTCAAGCAAAATGACTTGAGTGCAGAATTTCTATTCCACTAAACAGAAATTTGAATATATCATGTCAACTGTTGCAGGCACTCAAGGCCTTGGTGGATCCACCAGGCAAACACTCTTTGTGAAGGTGCTGTTTGAAGTATTCTTTCAGCAAAAGGAAAATAAATACATGTCAGCAAGTGAGGAATTGTGTAAACATGCGACAGCAAGAAAAACCACCTAAAAGAGGGTTACAGGAAGTGGAGGTAGGAAGGGGGAAGATAAGGGCATATTGAGACATATTTTCAGGGTGAAATATAGTTGCTGCTGTTTTTAAAAATAATAGAAAAAAGCAAATTTTAACAGAAGAGAAGTAATTACATGAATAAAAATAGAATGCATAGCTTTCAAACTAGTAGAAAAATTTAATTAGCTAAAGAAGATAGGAAAGAAGAAAAAGATACCCCAAAAAAGCCAGGCAAATAAAAATCCAACTGCCTTAGCAGAAAGTAACGCCAGGTGGAATTCAAAGATAAGTCATTTTGGTGCAAATTACAACGTTTCAACAACTTCATTAGAGAAAGAGCACATCTGCTGGTCCCTGGCCCAGTGCTCACAGTGGCTGGGACGGGGTTGGGTGTGAAGCAGGAGTGGAGTCTGGAATCGAACTCTAATGTGGGGTGGGGCATCTTCATTACTAGGCTAAAATCCTGCCTAGGTACAAAAATTTTTGAAATTCATGCATACACGGAGTCATCAAAAAACTCATGGAGCCGGCGCCATGGCTCAATAGGCTAATCCTCCGCCTTGAGGTGCCGGCACACCGGGTTCTAGTCCCGGTCGGGGCACTGGATTCTGTCCTGGTTGCCCCTCTTCCAGGCCAGCTCTCTGCTATGACCCGAGAGTGCAGTGGAGGGTGGCCCAAGTGCTTGGGCCCTGCACCCGCATGGGAGACCAGGAGAAGCACCTGGCTCCTGGCTTCAGATCAGTGGGATGTGTCGGCTGCAGCATGCCAGCCATGGCAGCCATTGGAGGGTGATCCAATGGCAAAGGAAGACCTTTCTCTCTGTCTCTCTCTCTCGCTGTCCACTCTGCCTGTCAAAAAAAAAAAAATTCATGGAGAATACACAGTATGATAAATTTATGGATGGATTTCAAAATTTTTTGAACCCAAACAAAGTTATCTTTTAATTGCATTTTCCATAAAATTTTAAAAATAATTTTATTGGGGCTGGCAGTGTAGCGTAGTGGGCTAAGCCTCTGCCTGCAGCACCAGCATCCCATATGGGTGCCGGTTCGAGTCCTGGCTGCTCCACTTCTGATCCAGCTCTCTGCTATGGCCCGGGAAAGCAGTGGAAGATGACCCAAGTCCTTGGACCCCTGCACCTGTGTGGGAGACCTGGAAGAAGCTCCTGGCTTCTGGATTTGGACTGGCGCAGCTCCGGCCATTGCGGTCAATTGGGGAGTGAACCAGTGGATGAAAGACCTCTCTCTCTCTCTCCCTCTCTCTCTCTCTCTCTGCCTTTCCTCTCCATGTGTAACTCTGACTTTCAAATAAATACATATATCTTTAAAATAATTTTATTTATTTATTTATTTATTTATTCATTCATTCATTCATTTATTTGAGAGGAAGAGAGAGAGTGTGCTCAGCCTCTGGTTTACTACCCAAATGACCACAAGAACCCAGGTTGGGCCAGGCTGAAGTTGGCAGCTGTGAACACAATCCAAGTCTCCCTTGTGGGTGGTTAGGACCCAATCCGTTGAGCTATCATTTACTGCTTCTCAGGAAGCTGGAACTGGGAATGGCGCTCGGACTCAGACTCAGCTACTCCAATATGGGACAAGGACCTCTCACCCAGTACCTTGACCACTCGGTCAAATGCCCACTTGCTCCATGAACTTTAGGAAGTAGCCATATACTTCATGAAACTACTAAAGCCAAGTGTAACAGGATGCTCAGCCACACGGGTAGACAGAACAGAGGCCACAAACAGATCTAGGCTTATCTGGACATGACAACATTAGCCCAATAGTAGTCTCGTGGGAAAAGGGTGCCTTGATCAATAAAAATGCTCTCATAGCTCACTTTTGATCCAGAAGGAAGCAGACAGATCCTTTGCTGTCACTTATGAAAAATTTAAACTGATGAGAAGACTGAAAGTGCAAATTTAGAAACAAAAATAGGAAAATATTTCAGTAACTTTGTTTTCTGGGAGACTTTCCAAAGTAAGAGAGGGGCTCACTGGCCATAAGAGCACAATACTATAACACATGTAAATACATGTAAAACATTCAAAGTCATACAGGCAATGGTACAGTGGGAAGCATGTGTACAACTACATGTGAAATACATGGATGTTGTAGCCTTACTTACGAAAGAGCTACACGTTGCTAAGAAAAGGCGAATCAGGCAACACAAAAACAGACACAGGATGTGAACCAACACACTGCAGAAAGGGAAATCCAGCTGGCTAACAAGCCAATGCCAAGAGGCATGTGAAAATGAGACATTTTTTCCACTCGTCAGAATAGAGGAACAATAGCAACAACATCTAGCGCTGGCAAGAATGAGGGGGAAACACCCAGTTTCACACACGGCAAGTAGCAACATGTTTGGAGAGAAGTCTTGACGTTGTTTAATAAAAACATCCATTGTTGGCATAGCAAATGCACTTTGGGAACGCTAACCTAGAGAGAGACAGGCAACAGCGTGTAGGACTAGAAATATAAAGATGTCGACCTGAGTACTGTTTACAGTGGTAGAGACAAAGAAACAAAAACCAACACAAAATCCCCAGAAAAGCCAGAACAACCTTTAGTACAGGAGTGGTCTAAGACTTAATGTATGTTGTAGAATAAAATTCAGCTGTTAAGAGGGTATGTTGCTGACAGCCGGCTCAGTGAAACTGTACTCTGCACAGTGTAATGAGCATCTGACTCTGCTGCGCTTGCATTTGGAGCAGGTGTAGCAAGAGGAGCTGAAGGAGGCAGAGTGCGACCTGATCAGCATAGCACTTCGGTGAGATCTGGAAGATGTGGAGAAGAAAACTTCTAAAATTTCCTCTGTATTGCTTCCTTTGTTACAGGAAGAACACCTTACTTTTTGCAATGAGGTAAAAGAAGACGAAGAGCAGGCATGTAGCCTAGCGGTTAGGATGCCTGTGTCCCATATCAAAGTGCTTGGCTCTGGTTCCTGATTCTGTCTCCTGGAAATGCAGACCCCAGGAGGCAGCAGGCGATGGATCAGACAGTGGGGTCTCTGCCACTTGAGTGGGAGACATGGTTTGAGTTCCCAGCTCCCGGTTTTCTTTCCAGCCCAACTCTCGTTGTTGTGGGCATTCGGGGAGTAAACTAGCAGATGGGATTGACCTCTATCTCTCTGTATCTGAAATAAAAATTAAACTGTAAATACAAATTAAAAGAAAGAATAGAGAGTATGGGACACACAGAAAGGATGTTGAGCAGATTTGGAAATTTGCCACTTGGGACATTCGTGGTTGATTTGGAAAATCCGGGACCCAAGGAGGAATGTTGGCATTTAATTCCTTAAAGGGCTCTCAAGGTCTCTAGGTATTGTACCCCGCTCCTGCTTCATGGAGGCCGAGGTGGGAGCCATGAATGGAAGATGCAGAGGACATTTCAGCAAACTGAGGAGTGAAGCGCTTGAGGTTCCAATTTTCCTGCAGCTGGGAGCTGGTGACCCCAGCATTCTCCACACCACCCAGCCCACCTGCAGGCCCTGGTGCACCAACAGGCCGCGTACCTTGGGCAATGTCGTCCTGCCTGTGCAGGCAGGGCCGCTCCACCTTGTGCCCGGCCTGGGGCTGCTCTCGCTCTGGCTGCTTGGGGCACCTCCCTTCATTGAACACCTGCGGCAGGTTGGCTGTGTGCACCTGTCGGAGCTGCTCATAGTCGCTTAGAGCGGCCGTCAGGTCCCAGTTTTTGCCTATGGGCGAGAAATAACAAGAGATTACAATTTTAATGCTTGAATAACAGTGCTAGTGGCAAGAAGGAGGAGGGGCCCATTAGCAAGGTAAGTAATGGGATTCACCGTCAGTAATTCGTATTTTTCTAAGGGGAAATTACCTCCTGCTCAATTTCTGGAAGTAGAAGTTCATGTCCATTAATGCATCCTGCTGAAATACGTACCACCACATAGCCTTTTTTAACATTAATTAATTAAAATTTTTTAAGAAAACTTTTATTTAGGGCCGGCGCCGTGGCTCAATAGGCTAATCCTCCACCTTGCGGCGCCGGCACACCGGGTTCTAGTCCCGGTCAGGGCGCCGGATTCTGTCCCGGTTGCCCCTCTTCCAGGCCAGCTCTCTGCTATGGCCAGGGAGTGCAGTGGAGGATGGCCCAGGTGCTTGGGCCCTGCACCCCATGGGAGACCAGGAAAAGCACCTGGATCCTGGCTCCTGCCATCGGATCAGCGCGGTGCGCCGGCTGCAGCGGCGGCCATTGGAGGGTGAACCAACGGCAAAGGAAGACCTTTCTCTCTGTCTCTCTCTCTCACTGTCCACTCTGCCTGTCAAAAATAAAAAAATAAATAAATAAAAAAATAAAAAAAAAAAAACAAAAAAAAAAAAAAGAAAACTTTTATTTAATAAATTTCAAAAGTACAACTTTTGGATTATAGCGGTTTTTCCCCCCATAACCACCCTCCCACCCATAAACCATCCTATCTCCTACTTCCTCTCCCATCCCATTCTTCATTAAGATTCACTTTTAATTATCTTTATATACAGAAGATCAACTTAGTATATACTAAGTAAAGATTTCAACACTTTGCACCCACACAGACACACAAAGTATAAAGTATTGTTGGAAGACTATTTTTACCATTAATTCTCATAGTACAACACATTAAGGACAGAGATCCTACATGGGGAGTAAGTGCACGGTGACTCCTGTCATCACTTAGCCTTTAGATGCATGCACGCATACACCATCAAAACACTACACGCCTAATGTCATGCCCCCTCCATCTGAAAACCAAGGTGTGGTGCTTACTCTCCGAGGGGAGAGAAGTACGAAGTTAAAAAATGAAGAAAAAACATTCTCAAATTTTCTTTAGGCTTTTGTTCAGAGTTTTACTTTTTCTTTGTAGTTACCATCGCAACTGCAGAAGCTTGGGAGGCTGTCTCATTTGGGCGCCCCAGGGGGAGGTCAGCCCAGCACGGGGTGAGATGCTGGCCTGGCCAGTGTCACCAGTGCCAGCGCTGACCCTGCACAGCTCCAGAGGGAGCTCGTTCAGGGCAGCTGGAACACAGCAGTGGGGGAGGATGGGGTGGCTGGGGGGTTTCTAATGAAAGGAAGGAGGCATCACAGCCAGCATCTCACCCCATTAGGCATCATGCACTTTTTGAAAATGGAGAATTAAAAGCTTAGCCTTAGTTTTATGGAGCAAATTCCACCTTATCCTTCCCAGGTTAACATCTGACTGCAGGTCTTGACAGATTCCCTTCTGAATGAGGTATACACAGTAGAATGAGACTTTATGTAACACAGTATCTGGATAGCATCCATCTGTCTTTCTACATTGTTTTCTCTTGTAGACATGGTCCTATCAATCCTAACATTTAAATCGTATTACGCAGTCATTCACAACTTAATCATATTTTCCCGTGCACAGTCAGTGAGCAGTCTCTAACAGCTGCATCTTTGCACACCTCAGGGGCAAGGAAAAAAATGAAAACCATCTGGGTCTTGCCCTCCCCCACAAACAATAGCAAGTGATAACAAGGGGGGGGTGCTGAGGTAATGCAGCCCTCCCACCATTGTTAGAAATGGGGGTTGAGGGGGCTGGGCAGTGGCAGCGACAGCCTTGGTCTAGGTGAGCTGAACTCAAGAACTTGGAGAACACGTGGTTACTGTTAAGCATGTCAAACAATCAGTGTGTTAAAAACCACAGCACTCCAGTGCCACCTATGTGATCGAACCCTGGCGTTTCTGAGCGTAACAGGTAGTGATGACCAAATGGGCGCTCATGTTCCAGGGCGGATTCTAAGCAGAGAAGGACAGAGCCCTGGTTTTAGGGGACTTACGCCACAGCAGGGGTGATGATCCGGCATGCATGGGGCAGGGGTGTGGAGTGCCAAGGAAGGCTCAAGGCTGCGTGAAGGAGGACTGAGGAGAGGGCAGGCAGGGGAGGGGCAGGCTCCACCCTACCTCCTACCATGAGCGACCGAGGCTTGATTGCTCCACCCCACAGCAAGGAAGAAGCACTCTCCTGACATGCCGCAGAGAGAAGCCAAGGTTCGGGGTGGTGGTGGTATTTCCCCAGAGCCCCCCTCTGGATACACCATGGTGTCTGGGTTGTTTCCACGGAGCTGCAACCCGCTGCAGGGCCACTCCAGGGATGAGACCTGGACCTGACAGAGTTTCAGCCACCCGGCTGGGCTAGCTGAACCCTACTCCTGGGCCCCAGGCCAGCCATACCCTACAGGGCTTCTCCCAGCCACAACAAAGAGCCTGTCTGGCTTTCTCCTCCCACTCCCTGTAAGAGACCCTTCCCAGAGCCCCAGTCCGTGGTGCCCATCGTGAGCCCTTTCAGCCCAGGTTGGAAGCAGGAGCAGAGTTAGCACAGGTGACTTCCATGGGCCACCAGGCAGGCCTTGCTGCAGAATGGAGGTGAGCTCACATATGCACCTGTCAGAGAATCTCTGTGCCAACTGGAAAATCAGGTGTCCAGCCACCAGCAAAGGCCTATCCACCTGTTCCTCTCCTCCCCAGGGTCCTGTCACTCTGCCGGATGTGCTTCTCACTGCCTTGGACTCATGCTGTTTGTCCTGTCCCGTGTCCCTCACCAGGGAGCATCCTGGTTGTCACCTGTGCCAAGCTTTGTAGCAAACAGGGACTTGCTAAACGGGGCAAACTTGAGGTAAGAATGAAGATGGAGGTGGAGAGGAGGTGGCAGCACTGTCTACATAGCCTACAAAAGCCCAGACTCTGCCCCGTACTGTCAGCACATGTGGAGAGGGCCCAAGGGGCACCTGGAGCGAGAGGCAAACCAGGCAAGCTGTGATTTACAGATGCTGGACCGGGGACTCTGGAGGGCTGAGCTTGGCCTTGGCAGAAGGGTGGGCTGGATCTACAGACAGGAATCTCAAGGGCAGGGACGCGAAGGGTCCCTGGGGTTCTGCAAGGAGGTGGTGGAGCTTAGGGAGCCAGGCTTCATGCCCTCATCTTTCCTGTCGGGTTGCTGAGCGCCCTCCGGAGGTCACGATGAAAAGGCAGCAGAGCCCACCATGGGCAAAAGACAAGGGTAGGGAGGGCAGACCAATTTGGGGCCCTGGTTCCACCTCCTCACTAATTGTGACATTTCATTCAAAAAATATTTTAAATTCACATCCATGTCACCACTCCTCCTGTTACCTCTTGGACTCTTTGTCTAGACCAGTGGGATGATGGAAGTCACCCACCGAGAATTCTCACGAGGGTCAAATGGCACAAGGCAATGGTGGCTGTGAAGTTCTCCGTGTACAGAAAGCTCCTAACACAGTGGAGCTGTTGTCATCGCCATTTGCTGTAGGCTTTGGCTTGGGACTCACTTCTGTCACTCGTGGTTGGAATCCAGCTAGTGAGCGATAGAGCTGAGATTCAAATCCAAACTGTTTAGAGTAAAGCTTAGGCTTTGAGGCTGCCATAGCCTTGAGCTTGGCCTAGTTTGGGCATCCAGATCCTGAGACTCTTCCTCTCTGCCAATTTTCCATCATCCTTTGTAGTCAGACATGCCTCATCTGCACTGACTCCCCCTGCTCTCCCCTGCCCTCTGCACTGACTCCCTGTGCTCTCCCCCTGCCCTCTGCACTGACTGCCCCTGCTCTCCCCTGCCCTCTGCACTGACTCCCCCTGCCCTCTGCACTGACTCCCCCTGCTCTCCCCTGCCCTCTGCCCTGACTCTCCCTGCCCTCTGCACTGACTCCCCCTGCCCTCTGCACTGACTCCCTGTGTTCTCCCCCTGCCCTCTGCACTGACTCCCTGTGCCCTCTGCATTGACTCCCCCTGCTCTCCCCCTGCCCTCTGCACTGACTCCCTGTGCTCTCCCCCTGCCCTCTGCACTGACTCCCTGTGCTCTCCCCCATCCCTTGCCCTCCTAGCATTACCTTCCCCAGCAGGACACCCCCTTTTCTTCACTGGGCCCCCTCTCTGTATTCTGCTTTTGCCAGGTGTTTCCACTGCTGGGTCTGTTCCCCATGGACTTAGCTGTGGGACGTGGCATTCTCATTCTTGTATTGCTACTGCTGTCTCCCAGACAGAGGCAGGCTCAGGCCCGTGGCAGCAGAAGGCATTCCTCCATGAGGGACGTTTCGGCAGTTCCTCCCTTCTACTTCTCCAGACATCCTCTTGCCCCCTTCTGACTGCTCTGAAATGCAGGGGCACCTCCAAGTTTTCCTTTGAAACCTGTTTGTTTCTCTTCATCCATACCCTCATTTGAAGATTAGTTCCACTTGTTGCTGAACAACCTTAAATATATTTATAATTATCATCCTAAGCTTCAAGGCCTAGTACCCAACCATGCCAGAGATGAGTCGACCATCCCCTTCCTATTTTCTCTAATTCTTGTGCCCAGAATCCGGCCTATTTGTGATAGCAAAGCACACAGCTAGAAACGCTCACTTTTTCCCAGCAGCCAGTCTGGGATCTCTGTTACCCTGTCTTTCTGTATTTACTTTGTCACTTCTTGTCTAGCGTCTGAAAAGAGACCTCGGCCTCACAACTGTGGGGACTAAGGAAGCTGCTGTGAAGTTTTTCTTCCAGGCTATGCCTCCATTTGTCATTAGCACTTTAAAAAAGCAAAGATGATAAACACAGAGCTCCTAAAAATCAGAAAAACATGCTTAATAAGTAGTTAAGAAAAATCAGTCATTAAGTAAAACACTTAAAATATTCACATATAAAAATTAGAAAAATGGTATGACAGAGCTAAGACCAACTGTATCT